CATGATTTAAACTGCACTTGATGTAGCCTAGTTAAATTCAGTTTTCATTTATGGGCGTTTTACAGTTCCAGGAGCCTTCATAATTCAGGAATGCTTTTTGAAGAGCATCCAGTCAATCAAGTGAGGCAGATGAGTGAATGTCCATTGTAAAAAGTGGAGATAAACGGGGGTGGGGGTGGGAGTGGCAGCACACGCCTTTAATCCCAGCACTAGGGAGGCAGAGGCAGGCAGATCTCTGTGAGTTTGAGACCAGCCTGGTCTACAAGAGCTAGTAGGATAGCCTCCAAAGTCACAGAGAAACCTTGTCTCAAAACCCCCTTCCCCCCAAAAAGTGGAGACAAGATGTATCCAGTGAAGAGGCAGCAGCAGAGTTGGTCCAACTCTAAAATGTTGATCTGGAGGTCCGAATTAACTGTGTTCCCACCATCTGCATGTCCAAGGTACTGACATCTGCTAGTTCTGCCATATTTTTGTCTGAAAGTTTGTTGTTGTAATCAAAAGTTGTCATGAGATGTGGCATTTGCATAGCATACATGAAGCCCTGGGTTTAACTCCCAGCATGGCATAAATCAGGTAGTGTGGTGCACATCTATAATCCTAGTATTTGGGTGGATGGAGACAGGAAGACCCAAACTTCAAGTTCATCTTACTGGCTACCTAGGGAATCTGAGGCCAGCTGGGCGGACTCTGTGTCAAACAAATCAAAACAAAAATATCTTTGTTATTGAAGCTGGAGACTAGTTTTGTTAAATAATGTGTCATTCAGCTAGTTTTTTAAAGCCTCTCATCCTTTGACTAACAGGTAGGGGCAATATTTCTGCCATATGCTTTCTGGGGACAGAGTCAGACACAGTCAAGCACAACTTTTTCCCAGAAGCAATACTCTCCAGTCTTCAATAACCCTGTTCAAACTGAAGATGAAACCATCAGAGCAGTCAGAACCTCTGAGAACAGCTGGTCTTGTGTCTTCACTCATTTTAACTAGCTTCTACACTGTGGTAGTCACCGCATCAAGAGTGACACAGACAAGTTCCTCCAGCTCTCTGCAATGTATTCAGCTTCCAGACTTACTACAGATCACTTTATAACAAAATCCCATTCAAATAGAATTTGTCTATTTCCCACTAAAAGAAATCTAATCTTACATTCTTGGCAAGTTGAGACAAAAAAAGAAACAATCATAAGTTTGAAGCCAGCCTAGGCTACCTAGTGAATTCAAGGTAAGATTGTGTAACTTAAGACCTTTCTCAAAACAAAAATAAAAGAAGACCTGGAGATGTAGTCTACAAAACCATTCAAAGAAGGGAGGTGGAGAGACAGCAAGGAAGGAAAGGAACAGTTTTTCTAACTCTGAGAACATCACGCTAGCCAGACCTTTGTGGCGCATGCCTTTAATCCCAGCACTCGGGAGGCAGAAGCAGGTGGATCTCTGTGAGTTCGAGGCCAGTTTGGTCTACAGAGCGAGTTCAAGCACAGCCTCCAAAACAATACAGAGAAACCCTGTCTCAAAAAACCAAACCAAAACAAGCAAACAAAAAACCAGAACACCACACTCAACCCTCTTCACGTCCACACAGCAGACTGCAATGATGCGAGTGCCATGATGCTTTGCATTTCCCTTATCTTCTCCGTCTCTGTTTTCCTCCCTTTCTCCTTTTCTCTCTCCCCATGCTCATCCCAATCCTCCCCACTTCTCTCTCTTTCTCCTTTAAATGTTAAAAGTATCTACCAAGTGCCTAGTGACTTCCTTTCTTTCAGACCCCACTTCCAATGAAGACACCCAGAAACTAAGAATCTGGGAGAAGATCTTGTAACTTAGGGTGATTATAAAGATGGGAGGGGAACACTGGAGATATGACTCAATGGTTAAGAGCATTTGTTCCTCTTACAGAGGACCCGGGTTCAATTCCCAGCAACCTACAAGGCAGCTCACAACTGCATCTAACTCTGGTTCCAGGGGATCCGATACCCTCTTCTGATTCAATGGTAGATACATAGACAGACATACAGGCAAAAATACCCAAACACATTAAAAAAACTGCTGGGTGTTGGTGGCGTACTCCTTTAATTTCAGCATTCAGGAGGCAGGCAAATCTAAAAGCTCAAGACCAGCCTGGTCTACAGAGGGAGTTCCAGGACAGCCAGACTATATAGAGAAAGCCTGTCTCAAAATAAATAAAAGGAACGAAAAAAGAAAAGAAAGAAAGATGGATGGATAGAAGGGTTCCAGTGACTTCGGTCTGTTGGTGAGCCCCCAGTGGAAGCCAATATGTCTGTGGACACATGTAGATCTGTGCAGCCAGTTCAATACCAGTTAAGAACCTATACAATATGTAATGGAGAACCAGTCAATACTATGGTAAAGGAGGTGCAATAAGTCAAACATTGCCTCACATGCTCCTTAGTTAAGATAGCCCAGAATAGTGCACTACTGAGTCTGGTAAGATCCTCAATTTCCTCACTCTCAGCAGAGAATGGATGATGTCCAGGACGGGCAGCAGATGCATTCTAATGGGTGATCTCTGGTCAGTGAGCCTCTAGCAACATTGTGCGTGGAAATAAACCCCGTCTTGAGAGATTTTTGTCCACCTCCAAATTCAGGATGGTGGCTTTTGCTGGGAGCCACTGGGCTCTGAAATGAACCCTCGGGAAAGTCAGGCTGCGGTGGGAGGGCAACACCTCCTGGGGAGCTGGTTGCTAGTGAGCCCTGAGAACACACCCTGCCTGACGAGGACATTCATCACAAAGGCCCATGTGTGACCTTAGGAAAAGTCCTTGAAAACAGTGAAACAAGAGTCTCCATTGAAATCTGGAATCCATTCCAGTCTCACACAGGAAGAAAATTAGGCAAAGAACAACAAACCCTAGAGTTCAGAGAAACCTGGGGAGGCTCTGGCTGACATTAAAATCATGGAAGATTTTTTTCCTTACTGCTTGGTATTTCATAAAATCTTTTCATCTGAGCAGCCCCAAAACTGCTAGAAAAGCCTGTATGGCTAATAGACGGCAAGAAATGAGTAAGCAGTGAGCAAAGCAAGCAGGGTAAGAACAGAAACGCTGACCGATGTGACCAAGTCCACCTGACACTTCTCCGAGCCACTATGGAATGGTGCATGCTATTCTTCCAATCATTAGCAGCCAACACTGCTGTTTTCCCCTTTGGAATAATGTATTGGTCATATGAGGGGCAACAGAGGTAACAGCTGGGAGTAGAGAGAGAGAGAGAGACGTTGCGCTTCTCAGGCACCAATTCTGAGATCAGGTTCATGAGTCCAGACATCACCAGCCTGGAAATGCTTATTCACTTAGAGCAGAGTGCCGTGCTTACTCTGTGCGTTTACCTCAGTGAACACTGTAGGGCAACACCGTTCTTTGAAGACCAGACCAAGTCCCTTTTGTTCCCAGCTGACATTACTCACAACTAATTGGCCATGTTATAAACCTGTGCCACCTTTGGAAGCATTTCCCTTCTTTGGCAGCAAGAAGAGAGGGGGAAGCTTTCTCTCTCTGTCGTCTCTGTCTCTGTCTCTGTCTCTGTCTCTCTCTCTCTCATAGTTGAATAGTGACATTAAGACCCGGTGAAAATCAATTGTCAGGGCCACATACATTATATCTCATCTCCAGCTTGTCTGAACACTGATCTCACAGCAAATAAGAGGACTGCAGGATCCTGTAGCTGGAGACAGAAGATGCCAGACACAGCCCCAACACATTTACTCATACACGTACAAATAGTTTAATTTTGTTTCTTCTTAAGCACCTTTATAGTTCATTTTTATTTTTCTTTAAAAAGGAGGGGGTGGGTAAATGGCATTGCTTTGGTATCCAAAACAGATGCCAGTTTGAACTTTATTTTGCCAGCATGTATTTGGTTTGGCTCTGTGGGGCTTGAGTTGAAAAATATTTGCCGATTCCAAAAGGACTTAGCAAGCTTTGCTGTGGACACTGTGCCGTCTGGCACATCACAGAGCCTGTGGTGGAGCAGAGAGAGCCCACTTGACCACAGTTTCCATTTGCCCAGGGTAGCCAGCACTGGGGGTTCAGTTGATTCCTGGGGTCAAGTGGGTTAGGTTCCCCAAAGTAAGGGACAAGGCATGCTGTGGGAGGCATCAGGACAGATCCCACCCTCCACGTATGTGATGGGTAACTTTCAGAAGTCCACAGTATCCTCACACTGATTGTCACATACAATCAGTGCTGCCAGCCAGCATACCAGATACACACCCACTTCTAGAAATCACCACCTTTATCTGATACAGAAAATAAATATAAAGAAAAGACATGCTGTGATGCATCTCTGTCACCTGATGTGAACTATGCTGATGGAATTTAACTACATTAAAAAGGAATGGCTATTCCCTGTAACTCTGCTAAATAGCATCTGAAAATCTACTTTATATTGCTAAGAGAAACAAGAACCTCCTTTACCAAGACTTAGTAGAATATAGACATGCAGATCCATCTCCGAGTATTGAAAGTCTGGCCATAATGCCCCCAAACCTCACAAGCTAAAGGTCAAGGAAGGTTGTCAAATGTGATCACGCCACACAGATTGCCTGCCACACAGATGGCCAGATACAGTGTTCCTATGGCAGTGGACACATAGGAATTAAAAGTCTGTTTTAATGACATTGGGTAGGAAGAGTGACATCAAAGATGTAACTAGGTTATAGAATTCTGTAGTATTTTGCTATTTCACACAAAGAGCAAATAAATACATTAGTCAGGCATGTTCTACCCTAACTCCCCAAATTTCTGGACACCCTTTCCTTAACATTACATGCCAATCTAATGCTTGGGACGTGATAATCTGCTGCAGGAAACCTATAACAAATACTTGAAAGACAAAGCCCAGCTGTCAGTCATCTTCCCCCAGAAATACCTATTCACCAGAGCAAAGAACAAGAGCTTACTGCCTTAACCAAGGGATGGAATCACACCAGAACTTGGTGTTACGACATGCACACTGTAACGGAAGGATGACTGAAGGTCTTATTTACCATTTTGGCTTCTGAATGCATTGGCTGGACTTGGGGAGAAGCACAGGGATTGCTGAGGTTGGGGCCTTGCATGCCCATAATGCCGGAGTTCACTGACATTTGTCTCTCCATCTATGAGGAAGGAAAGCAACACAGTTAGAAGGGCAGGGAAGGCCACAGACAAAGCTGCACTTTGCTTTGGTCGGGGTTGGGGGAGGTCATTCAGCATTTCATCCAATTGCTGGGAAACCACAGGCGTGGTGCAGGGAGTAATGCGCTCTCCAATCTTGAACTGGAGCACACCAAAGAGTCACCGGGTTCTGCGTGCTCCGTAGCAGATTCCCCACGCCAAAAGGAACTTCCTAGTCTGACAGACATTGCCAAAGAAAACCACCAAATGTTTCTACCTATCTCCAATCAGATTTATTTCTGTTGCTCTAGAGAATAATAAGTGCATACAAAGTTAAAAGATTATATAGATTATATAATGCACCAAATAGTTACCATAGAATGCCTTTGGCATTATTTTACCTGACATTTCGTATAGTAACCACGAATCATTCAACAAGAGGAAAAATAAAAGGAATTTTAAAGCAACTGTATCCCCTCTAGTGCTTCTCTCTGCTGTTACAGTGCAAATCAGCACAGCCCTAGGCATGGTGGCAAAAGCCTGTTAACTCTGCACTTGGTGGGCAAAGTTGGGAGGATCGGGACTAGGAGGTCACCCTATGGAATTCTAGGCCAGCTGGAGCTGCACAGGCATACCCCATCTCAAAGACAAAACAAAACAAAAGAGCCTTGCTTCCCATCCCCCCCCCACTCAAGTTGCCCCCGGGGTATCTCCTACTCTTAACCTGGCCAAGATTTCACAGGGCTATAAAGCGAGGCCCCACAGCTGGCTTAAGCTCTCTGTATGGAAGAAAGGAGCTGGGGGATGGGAATGACACGCCACAGATGGACAGCTTCGCCTTTGTGATCTCTTGATAGCTTACCAGTGTCTAGAGTTAACAGCGCTGCAATAACCTGACCAGTATGCTGGCATCTTCAGGGCATCCTATAGGTAATTACAGGTTGACAGCACTTTACCTGGCTACTTTGGAATAGATGTCTGTCTCAATTTTAGACGTTTTAGGATTTTGGAACATTTACATGTACGTAATGCGACTTTCAGGGGGATGGAATCGATGTCTAGACATTAATATCTCATGTACTGCTTTTATATACAACTTGTAGATAATATACTAAATCTCAGCGCTCCTTGCCCCCAATAGGTTTCAGACTTTGAAGTTACAGTTTAATCAACTTGCATAGCATAATTTCTGTGCCAGTACAGAAAGGATGCATGTGATCAGTAGCACTTCCTGTTAAGGAGAAAATTAGTACTGTTCAAAGAAGAGTGAAATAAAATACACCTATATCATGCAGCAAATAGCCAGACTGACTGCTGGGGGCAAAGTGATGCTTCAGTGCATTTCTCCTAAAGGGTGGACATGTGGTTAGAAAGTTGAGGGTCCCCCATTCCCTAGCTTAGTCTGTGTGATTTTGGAAGGTAAAGAGTTCCTTATCAATGAAGGTTCAAAAGGGAGTGTGGGAACTTCCCTACAGGGCAAGCTTGAAAGCAAGCCTGAGTGGATGGCCAGGGAAAGGTGGCTTAGGTGGCTGAGTTTCGGTGGCTGTGACCCTGGCAAAGGCATCTGGTTAATATGCTGTTTTGAGCAGTCCAGTGGTGCCAGCTAAAAGCTGCCTGTTAAGACGCGTACCAGCCTCCCCTCGCCTGAATCAGCTGACCTGTTATCCGGCTGGGGTGTAGGAAAGATGTCAAGAGAAGCTAATGAAGGCCAGCTTCCTGAGACCTTGACAGTTCAGCAAAACAAAACGTCTGCTCCCGAGTGCGCTAGTTCTCCAGACAGCGTAGGCACTCTATTTTGAAATCATTTGAGTTGCGATTAAATATACTTAACATAAAATGTGCCATTTAACCCATTTTAAATGCTCTCCAGTTGAGTATCATTAAGAACATTCTCACAAGCTGTAATTAAGTTGTGAGGAATTCAAGAAATGCACCTTACATAGAACTTTCACCCCACTAGAGGCCAAGCAATAAGAGGAAAGATGCAGCATTGGGCCCTCTATTCCAATGAAGACTCTTTCAGAGAGGGAAAGTATAGCCCAGGTGAGCTTAGCCTCCCAGTTCTAGCAGGATGAAGCATTTCAGCTACACAGGAGCGAGAGCAGCCTGCTTGTGACTTCTTGGCCAGGAGACAGCAATCCTGTTCATTTTTTTTGTAAGTAGTTGTTTACGATGGTTTCTACTCCATTACACAAAATACTGGTTCTGAGAAGGCTGCCTTGTGCATCTGGTAAAAAGAAACCCTGGGCTTTCCATCTTGGCTGATTATCGTCAGGTAGCGTAAGAGCAAGCATCAGCTCAAAACGAACATCCCAGCTTAGCTGTGCTCACGTCCTGCCTGACTTTACAGGGCTGATAGGAAGCAGAATGGCTTTGTTGAATGCCCAGCAGTGTTTCACCACTGTGAGTAAATGGCCCAGGCAAGGGTTAGGGTGTCCATTCAGTGGAAGGGAGCTCGCTAAATGTGTGGAGGCCGTGGGATCCCATCTCCAGCCGTTACACCAAAACACCCATATTAAGGATTCCCCTCTTCTCACTACAGAAAGCAAGGGACTCAGTGTCCACAGGTTAAAGAGCTTTTGTAATGATAAAGGGGTATGCATTTCCACAAATTATGGAGGCATTTGACTTTCAAGATGATAGGAAGTCAATCACAGGAAGTCCTTGAAGGCAGCACCTGCCTTGTACTCCCTGTATCCTTAGCATCTAACAGTTTCTGGCACACTGAAAGTGCTCAACAAAGTGTATAGCATGAATGAATGAATGAATGAATGAATGACTATATCATGTACTTTGGGTCTAGGTTTAGTGAAGGGTGTGGCCTGGAAGCATGCATCATGAAACAATTAAGACTCTCACCTTCAACTAAAGACAGCCTCAAGTTGGAAGCCCAGGGCCTTGAGATTTCCCAGGGTGGGGACTCTAAGGGGAGGATCAGCCTTTGACTGACAGTCCAGAAGCCAGAGTCGCAGCACGGGAGCTGGCAAAAGTGACTAAGGAAGGAGAACCCGGATTTCAAGGGCCTGGGGACCCTAGAGGTATTTCTTTGAAATTTGACCAATAACTTCAGCATCCCTGAAGCCCAGCACTATTGACACCTTGAGTCAAGTCCCGAATACTTCTGGGTTGTGGGAGCATTCTGTATATTGTGAGACATTCAACAGCATCCTTAGCTCCACCCATTAGAACACCATACTTCCTACCCCATCCCTGTCATGACAACCAATAGTGTCTCCAGATATTGCCTACCGTTCCCCGGAGAGACAAACTCTCTCTCCCACCTTCACTGTGAGTCACGGTAGCAATGTCCTGCTGTGGACTGTGGGAACTCTGGCAGGAGCCATGTCCCTGACTTTTTGTCTATATTGGTTCTTGACCATTCATCTGAATCTTTTGCTCCTTTCTATTGATCTAAAGCATCAACAGCGGGTCAAGCTGTGTGACAGGATAAATCGGTAAGTGGTACTAGGATTTCAGCTCCCACCACATCCCTGGAAATGACAATTGAACCACATAGAAACAAAAGATCTCCAGAGTGGCATTTTTCTAATTGTTGTGTAGAAATTCCGAAAAGAAAATTGCTTTGGACAGGTGGGGCATAGAAACAGCATGAGGACAGCATGTAGTCGCAATCTCCAGGAAATTAGTTGAACTGAAGGAAACCAGGGATTTATGTATTAATAGTGCTGTTCTCTGTCAACCAGTCTAGTGAGAATAACCAGATCTTCCATCTATCCTCCAGCTAGAGATTACAATAGGCTTCCAGCCCGGACCACAGAGAGAGCATTTGTAGATGGAAGGTTCATTTGTCTGAACTGAGTCCACATGATGTTGTCCATTCCTCGGCCTTCCCCACTGCTAACTGAGCCAATTTCTCAATAGCTCAATAGGGAGTAATCTGAGCTGCTCGTCACGAAGTGAGAAGTGGGTTCCACTCATACATAACCTCCACTCACCCACAGTGTTACATTAGACATTGAAGCTTCAACTGCTTACCCTCTAGCTTCTCATCTATAAAGTGGGCTTTTCAGAAACTGCAGTGACCACAACAGAGCACAAAGAGGGACAACCATGTTGACAATGCCCTAAGATGCTAAAATGTTCATGCTCAGTGTGTTGTGGGAGGGTTGCTCACTGGGTTGTCATACTGCTTCCAGGGCTTTCAAGAGTTCCTGTGGTTCTGTCCGTTAAAGCATAATGCCGGGAACAATGAGGAAGATGGAAAGGGAGAGCATCCTAGAAGAGAGCCAGACTTACTCTGCTCTACTGCATCTCCCCACAACACCTGCTAATTAATAGTGAAGCTCTTGAGGTCAGGTGTAATGTGCAGGCCTTGCAACCCAGCACTAAGAGTCAGAGATGAGAGTTCAAGGTCAGCCTGAGCTGTGTAGTGAGACCTCATTTCAAATGAAAACCAACAAGTCAGGAGTCAGACTAATTAGATTTAGACCTTGACCATCACCTACCAGCTGTACACCCTTAGCCAGGGCACAGAACCTTGTGAGTGCCCACTTTCTCACCGGAGACACCAGTATACACAAGCATGAACCTCAGTGGTTTGCTGTGAGTGAAAAGAGAACGTACCCATCACTTAGTAGCTGAAAGAGCAGACTTGGGAGCCAGGATTCTCCAGTTCAGAATCCAGCTGCTTTGCTTCTCAGATGGACAAGCTACCACTGGCTTAACTTCCTCCTTTCAAAAGGTGAGGGCCACTGCAGACCTTCTTGCCGGACCATTTCATGTGCGGACAAAGTGCTTGTGGTGAGCAGCATATAGCAAGCACCCAGAAAATGCTACCATTTGAAGAACATGATGTGCATGAATGCAGATTACCAGCTATCACGTGTGATCATTTAATGAATGCTCTGGGTTCTGCTTGGAACCATCACTATCCATTTGACGACCCTGTATATAAGATAGGCACTCGAAACTGTAGCCATCCCTTAGTATCCACAGGGAATTAGCATTAGTACACCAGCCTCTGCTTTGACGCCCAAATCTTTGATTGTTCAAGTCCCTCTGCTAGATGGCACAGTATTTGCATATAATCTGCTTATCCCTCCCATTTATTCTATATCATCTTATCCTTCCTAATACAATAGAGATACTCTGTAAAAAGTTATTAAACCATGTTTGAGGAATAATAACAAGGAGAGAAGTCTGTACATGTTCAGAAAATATGCATTTTTCAGTCCACAGTTTCAGTCCAAGGTTGGCTGAATTGTGGATGTGGAATCACAGACAGAGGGCTGACTGTGGCTATAAAACCGTATCTTCCTGAACTAATTCCATTGCTTGAGTGTGGTGGGGTCACTTGCCACTGACAGGTAAAATAGACCCTCCCTCACATTAAAGCCCCAAAGGACAGGGAAGGCTATTGGATGGTCATCTGACTACGATATACAACCTACCCCACAGCTCAAGTGCGCTCAGAGGCCGCTGCCTTCTTCCCAGACAGCTCAGATCTCAGCTTCTACTCCCCTCCCTGGAGCCTCAGTACTAATGGGGAAATCACTGCAACCCCCTCACCCTCCAAAAATGCTTACGGGCATCAAGACGGCAGAAGATCCTGGCATGGTGGGGTTGGGCAGGGTCCCAGGCATGGAGGCCGGCATGGGCTGCCTCTGTCTGTTGTGGAGATGGAGCAGAGATGATAGAGAGCCTGGGACAGGCCTGGGGACAAAGAGAAAAAGAACAAAAAACAAGAACAACACATTATTCCTGATGGCCTGGGTCTGTTACCCAGCATCCAAACCAACGGGGACACCAACATCACAGGCAAACAGATCGGATCCTCTGATGGGAGAGCCACATAATTGAGGATATTAGGGAAATAATAACAAATAAAATACATGCCTGGTTTCCTTTGCTGCTTCCTAGTTAATACATCAAATTCCACTTCATTTCCTGACCCGTTATCTAACTGATGTTCAGTGGAAACACGCTGGTGTGTCTCCAATAGCCTCCACCTCTAAGGAAGAAAATCTGTAGCAGAATGCCCAGCTTATTGCTATCTCAGCATGTGGAGTGTGTTAGTGTTGAGGATCTGGGTACACCGGCATTTCAGCTCACACCTTTGCCCCGAAGCCTGCCTGGCTTTGCTCTAGGTCCATGCTCATTCCACAGTCACAGAGCAAGCTCCATTCATGTGTTCCTGGCAGAAATGTATTCTGACTTATTTTGTAATTCCACTATGAGTGGAAAAACACAAAGTCAGGGCACAAACAAATGCAGTTGGACCATGGGGCTTGGCACTGAACTCAGCCTTTCATAGGGAAGTCCAGGGTTCAGCACCCTATTACCAATCTCTCATTTCATAATAACATGAGGTGTTAGGCTGTTTGACAGAAACTGATTTGGGCCTGATCTTCAGGATTTGAGTAAGCATTTCCCAGGAGAATGCATAGTTTGAAATCTTACTTCAACTTGCCAAAAAAAAAATTTAGGGCCTGAAATTGATTTAATGAGCCAGCCAAGGAATGTGGAGCTGAGGGAAAAGGGGAATTATTTGTGTTTATTAAAAATAGCAAACAAGTGACCTTGCGACAGAACTCTCAATCTCTCCGCACTTCTGCTCTCTGGAGCTGGATAAACCCCAGGCCATGAAATCAGAGTGAATGGCAAGCAGAAGGGGCCTTGAGTCTTCCATATTGAGCCCTCTCTAATCCTGCGTGTCCCACTTCCAGAACCAGTACATTCTCTCAAGATAATAAAACATGTGACTCCTCCTGCCAAAAACTGGATGAGGCTACAGTTAGAGGGATTCTATATAGGCCACAGCCTTCCTCCAACATGGAGAACCCTGGTCTATCTAAAGCATTCGAACAGCACTAGGCTCTAGCCAGAGTTTAACCAGAGCATCACAGCCTAGTTGGAGCCTCAGCCTAGAACCACAGCCCAGTGCAGAGAGACCCATGAACCTGTCCAAAGCCCCCAGCAGAGCACATGAAACTGTCTGGAGCCCTGGGAGAGCATCCTGGTGCCATTAGACTCCAGAATCCCATCCCAGCACCAAGGCACTGTGTAGAGTTGTCAGGATACCATAGGTCAGTTCAGAGTCACAGCCGAGCAGTGGAAGAGGCTACTCTTCCATGAAGTTCTGGTGACTCAACGAGAATTGGGGCCTGAGATAGGACAAGAATGCTAGCATGCTCTTCCTTTACATAGCTGTTAAAATTCCAAAGAAGATGAAACGTTTCACGGTTTTTGCCTGAGAGCTTTTTTTGAAAAAGAGCTATTTTTCACAGTTACAAGCATCCTAGAAAGATCAGACATCAATTAGTCAAGACTGACACACACAGGCGGGTGCATCTATGAGAAAAAAAAAAGCACAAAGCATGGCACGGAGGTTGTGTGAACGTACAGGGCTACACCAATAGTGTATGTGTGGGTAAAAACCAAAGTAGGTTAGCATAAGAAGCTCACAACAACCGAGCGAGTGTTTTCAAATAAATCACGAAGCCTCCTTCCTGACGTGTGCCCTGTGGACCTCCACAGAGTAGACCCAACCAGTGGGCCTAGAGTAGGTGTGAAGGTTCTTGGGCTCCCACAGTTCCATCAGGCTTTGGGGTCTAGCTGCCCTAAAACACTATAGGGCAGCAGTTTTCAACCAGAAGGTAGAGATCCCCTTGGGAGTCAAATGACCCTTTCATGGGGGTCACCAATGCTGCATATGAGATACTTACTTTACGACTCATAACAGCAGCAGAACTAAAGTTATGAAGCAGCAACGAAATAATGTTATGGGTGTTATAGGTGGGGCCACCACAACATGAGGAACTGTATTGAAGGGTCTCAACATTTAGAAGGTTGAGAACCACAGCTGCCTGAGTGAGGTCATGACTGTACTATCACAAAGTCTCTTTAGAGGTGGTTAGCACAACCTAAGAGGTACAGAATGGGACTCTGTCAAAACTGACACTTGTTTAGAGGCCCCATTTTGATGTTTGTTTGGGAACTTTGCTGAAAAGAGTTGCTTGTCGAACAGTAATTAGATGCTGGGGAGATGGCTTGGTGGTGGAGATTACTCACTGCCCTTTCAGAGGACCCTGATTTAATTCCCACACCCTCATGGAGGTTCACAACCATCTGAATTCCAGTTCCTGGGGATCTGATACCCTCCATTGACTTCCTTGGGCAGCAGGCACATGTGTGGTGTCCATACATACATACATACATATATATATGAATTAAATAATTCCTTTTAAAAAACTATTTATTAGTAGTCCCCTCAGGCCCAAAGTTCTTCATCTGAATTACAGTATCATAAGATGCAACGTTCACCAAGAGCCGCTCTCCACAAAAGTAGCCAGCCAGCTATATCCACCCAAATTGACGTCTATGCAAACATGTCTGTGCATGTGTGGGCATTATCTTTGACCAAGTATTGGTTGCTAGGGGCAAGTTTCAAATGCAGTTTAGAGGAAACAAAAGCTTTCAAGAGGAAGACAGCTGAAATCTTTTCTACATGTTACATAGGTCTGCAAGATAGTGTTCAAGACCAAAGGGCAGCACGTATATTGCTATCATTTGCCTTCTGTTTCTAACCTGCTATGTTAAAAAAAAAATACCAGACTTAGTCACAAGAAGTTATTGGTGGTTTTTTTAAAGGCAAAACTCAATTAAACAATCCAGTGGCTATGAATGGAAATGACAAAGTAATTCAATTTGAAATGAGTTTTCACTCTTCTCTGAAGGCTGGAAACTCCCAACTGTATTGAATCACTAGGGAATGGAATACTTCATTTAATCCAATAATTAGGTTAGTTATTTCCACACCCTGCACAGATCTACTATATTTTAAAATCTCAAATATTTCCTCTTTACTTAAGAAAACCTTTCAGGGGACCTGTCTCCCATGGGATTAGAAGAGTTTCCAAGTGATGCCAGTCAGCCCAATTAGCAATGCACACTTGGAAGGAAATAAGACTACTCAAGATACCTTTTTGCTTGAATTCTGAATAACTTCCATATTATTGTATTATATGGATTCCATGAATTATCCCCCCAGGCCCTTCTACCAAAGGGGGTTTTCTGGGTTCCTTGTTTAGCTACAAACAGTGGAAAAAGTAAAATCTGTATATAGCTATCACAACTTACAGAAAAAGAAAATCAGGACCGGGAATGTGACTTGGTGGACACAGTATACTTAGACAAGTGTGAGGACCTGAGTTATGCCCTGCACAACAAACAAACCAGCAAACACCAAATAAGCATATGAAGAATTATTCCCATCAGAAGGTACAAAGAAACCATCAACAGGATATTCACACCACTGAAACCAGAACAGTTGAATGCATTATCTCATTCCCTTGCATGTATTAATTCATTTTTTTGTATTTAATCTATAGTATTCTTGAATGAAACTTTCTGTGTTTTCACTTGGTGCTTTCAAGTAATTTTCAAAATGTTTTCATATCTCAGTTTCATGTGACTTGAAGTAATGCAGTGTGGTAGGAAGGTCGTGTTATTCCTACTTGTACTCATGAGTAAACTAAATTTTTATACATTTCTCATTTGCCCACAGTCACACACATTATGGAAGGGAGAAGAACTTCCCTCATCTCTCACCTCCATATCTCCCGTAACTAAGTTGTTATTGATTTTTATGATAAAATAAATTCATGGCCCATTTCTGTTGATGCTCACAACACTCCCTGAACTTATCACTAAGTAGTGAAATTCCAGAATACTGCTAATACGAGAGATCATTCATCCATGTGAAACTCTATTTTCTCCTTTTTTTTTAAAAAAAGTAAATAAATGAAAAACCTTCCCCAAAACACATCAATTAGATTCTGAAAGTCAGATGGTAAAATCGCAGTAAAGTTGTGAAAACAAAGCCGACAGTCTTTCCTCTGGTGCAGGCTTGTTGCCATGAGCTAGTAATTCCAGACTTTGAGCAAGTCGAGCCTCCTTTTTAATAACCATATGCCTCTAGGTAAAGTATTTCTACTAAAAATTATTGAGGCATGGAACAAGGTAAATGTGTGAGCTCATGTTGGATTGTTCAATTACTGAACTGAGGCCGCATTAAGAGTTTTCCAACTTGACAGATTACTCCTCTTTATGCACTTGTATAAACACACCGCTTACGGCTGAAATCTATGTAAGCTTTTCTCTCAATTAAAATGTCAAGTATGACAGACTGTGTTTTCACTGTCCTTAACAGAATGATAGGTACCACAGCAAGAGGTTTCATGTCCTTATCCCCCCTACCCCTGCCAAAGGATGTTTTTCAGTCTGGGGGTGTCTGAATAGCCCAGGCTGTGGCTGCCAGTCTCCCTTGCCCTAAGTCTGTCTCGCTCTATCTAAGTAGCTGTGGGCCAGGGCTTCAGTCTGGGGGGTCTAAAGACAGACTCTATAGACTGACCTACTTTCCCAGACCTTAGTGATCCATGGTACCCTGTGACTGCTTAGAGACTACTAGGATAGATAGATCTGCTATGAGGCCAAAGGGAAGAGGGCAACCCTTACACACACACACACACACACACACACACACACACACACACACACACTCAGGAGCTAGATTGGTCATATAGGAAACGACTCTGCCAATTGTGTGATACAGAGAAAATGACTTTATCCATCCCTCAGTGGTAAAACAGTGTTCCAGTTTATTTTTATGTTGCTGTGATGAAACATCATAAACAAAACTTGGTGAGGGAAGG